CATTGGAACAGCCTACCCAGAGAGGTGGTGGATTCACCATCCCTGGAGGTTTTTAAGCAGAGATTGGATGTGGCCCTTAGTGCCATGATATAGTAATTGGAGTTGGATCAGGGGTTGGACTTGATGATCTTGGAGGTCTTTTCCAACCCAATCTATTCTATGATTCTATGATTCTATGATTCTATTATAAATGGCTGAATTCAGGAAAATTAAAGTACTGCTGCACTCCAAGCACCTGTTTGCAGTCTCCTATAAATGTGGAAAGACTTGCAGAAAGAAAAAGTAAACCTCCTGGTTCGAGCACTGGGAAACATGTCAATGGGAAAGAGCTTCAGGCAACCCACACAACCCTGGAACAAAAGAGGGGAGTAGGGGGGAATTCTGCAACTTCAGTAGCGAGAGCAGGAACTCCTCTCCAGTGTGAAGAGAGACCGGGAGGACATGCTGCCTTTTAAAAAAACAGTACACACTGAAGACCCCTGTCAAGACTATGGTAACAAAGATCCATACCTACTGACTACTCTTGTGTCTGACAAATGCTTTTAAGAGAAATAACACAACAGTGTTAACAGAAGTCTTTATTACATAAATCGAGCAAAGAGAAAGTTCATCCGGCCAAAAGAGCACAGGCACAAAAGCTGTTCATGTATACTGCAAAAGCAGAAAGCCACCATAGTATTTGTTTAAGATAACTGTGCTTATCTGTACACCACAGTGTGATTTCCTTAATCTGTTTTGCAGAAAACTGTTGCTCACTCAGAAGACCGTGCAATTTCCTATTTATTAAAAAATATCCCCTTAATTTAGTTCAGCAGGGCATGCTAGAGGAAACACAAAGAATAACTGAATTTCAACATTACTATCCATACATGGGAAAAAAGCTCTCTGTTCATCACACTTGCATAAGGGAGAAGAACTCAAGGACAATTCACACTTTCCTACAATTTAGCAATTTAAGACGAACAACTGATATGCAAAATTCAAATCCAAAAGGAAGAGGAGCTTGTTAGTTACTGAATTGCTGAAATGTTTTTCTAATTCATGTTTCCAAAGGACACAAATAAAAGATCTCAACTGAAACAAAATGTAGGAAATTATCATGGTGCATATTTAGCTTACATTTTCAATTAATATAATTTGCAGGGTTTTATTTCTATGTTTGGGAATACAGAAAGCAGAAATAAGGTCTTAAGATCAAAACTTCACTGTTTAAATGCTTCCTTGCCTAAATGTAGTATAGTTCTTTGTTAAAAAAAAAAAAGCCGGAACCCAGTTCCTGCCTCATCTATGAAACCAAGACTACACTACTTTATCACAATGCATAAATGAATAACTGATGTGATCACTTTTCCTTCAAAGTTCTTAGCAAACTCCTATTACAACTTGCCTCTCCATGAACTAAGTATAGTGTAACATGCACAAGCTGGTGCATGTTATTTTCAGCTTATGTTTCTCTCAGCACAGCAATACCAGCTGTGATAACCTAACTGGATAGGCTCCATGTATTTTGCACTTTTATGCATTTTCCTCAGTGTACTTTCTGTACACTATTAACTTCCACTGTACAAAACCTTTATTTTTCAGATTAAACAAAAGCTGTCATTTACACCTCTGTACATACAATTCCTACTTGACTGCAATTGTTTAATTACAAACCTTCCCCACCAATATATTTCTCATTCTTGAAAGCAGAATTGGTGATCTAAAATTGCACTTCGTAATTGCAAATAGTGTGGACAGGTGCAATGTAAGAGCATCTGGTTCATTAAGCTATCTGGTTAAGGATTTTTCAGTATCAAAGAAATAAAAAACAAAGGACCGCAGAGACATACTATCACTATGAGCAGGTGGTAAGAGAGAACAGTGAAGACCAGAAGGTTTCTGCCACTGAAAATTTCTACCAGGAACTGCTCTGATAGAACATTCAAAAGGGTCAACCTGAACTTTGATCAGTAAAGGGGGAAAAAAACATGCTCATCATTTGAAGGGGTCCTGCAGGACTGTGAAAACCTTAACATACAGAAGGGACAGCAAAACATATTGCAAATGCATTGAGAGACAAGGATCTGGGTGAACAGGGAGGGACAACAGTGAGAAGAGGCACATCCTCTGTTTGGGAGGGGCTGCTGGTTAGTACACTTGTCTAGCTGAGCACCTGTTCACAGCGGTCCATATTATCATCTTACAGAGCATTTTCCTAATGTAAATCATACAGAAAAATTAAGACATCTATAAGATGTATTGGTTCAATACTGTAAATTCATAGTTCAAAAAAAATTACCACTTAGGAAACCCATATAAGAAACATTTGTCATCTGTTTGCACACATCTAATGGAATTCTACTCAACTGAGATACAGTCTTTAATCATCACTACATACTGCATCACCAGTGATGGTATAATTAGCACATTAAGCTGAGAAAGAGAAATTGTTCAACAGCCATTTCTATACTGAAAAGAAACTGATTGCAGCTATCATTGGTACAGTCACACAAATGGCACCAAATGTATTGTAAATGCTAAACATATCCAATGTTCATCTTTAAAGTCATAAAGAAAAGGTTAATCCTATGCAGAATCCTATGTGAAATCATGCAGTCTATCCCCATCATGGCTGGTACCAACCACAGTAAGCATTTAAATGTCAATTAATGTTGGAGTGCATATTTCCCCTGCCATTACCGAAGCTCTGGTTTTTTACTGATTTCTGGTTTCAGTTACCATTCTCTGTTTTTATCAGTTCTTTGATGATGTGTAAGACCTTGTCATCTGGGAAAGAAAACAAACACAGTGACTGAAAAGAGTGAGCTTAAATTCCTAAACCCCAAGAAAATGAAAAGACAAGTCTAGCTATCAAGCAACTTAAATGTTTTAGGTTAAGCCAGAATTTAAAGCAAAACAAGTGATTACCATTTGCCAAGCAAAAGGACAAACAGTTCCTCCATGGTACATAATTTTAAAGTTTATAAATTACTCAATGAACTGATGGCGGACATTTCAGTACTTTACAAAAGAGACTGATAAAGTGATAGGTTAACTACAGATACATTAGCATGGGAACTCCCCAACTACAATATTATTCTGAACACGCAGCATCCAAAGTTGAAATACTCTATCCCTTAACTTAGACAATTTGCATAACACTTCGAAACTATCCATGCCTAAGATTCTTCACACACAATCTTAATTCTGATTTGAGATGCACACCTTGCCATTACTACCACTACCCTGAATGTTGTTATCAGGGATATCTTTAAAACAGCAGTTGTGCAGATCTTCATCAATCTGGGGTGAGCCACACCATATATGCACAGTTACTAACAACTTTCTAGATGTCTCTCAAGGTAATGGAATAACATTCAAGGTCACACCAATCCTACTGCGTGAGGATGCCATGTGCTAATGGTTTCTCAGACTTGCCACAAGGTCCATTTAACAAACACTTATGTCAGCAATGCAGTAATAAAGTTACCTTCAAGTGACATTTTGGGATTTTCAAGCTTCTTCTTCAAAACAGACTCAATGAGAACTCTCAGCTGTTTGAAAATTACTGCTATCTTTACAGGAGCCTACAAAGAACACAAAAGACATTATCAGACATTTTTATA